TAGAGTGGGCATATTGTTGATTGGCAATGAACTGAAACTCTTTTTTCTATACAGATTGTTTTTGTCATATACTATGTTGTTTGCCCTGAAATATTGATCAATAAAGAAAGGACTTCAATAATGTATGACATTATAAATCTTTTTATTGTGAACAGATGAAAAAAGAGATTATTTACATATTTAAGAAATCACTTAGAAGAAAAACAAAACATGCTATCGTTATCTTCTTATACTAGTATTTGTGTGATGAGCTTGTTGATCTGTGACGGGATGAGAGCTGACTATACAGAACTGTTAGATGCAGTCTTTACAATGAAATTATATAATTAGATATAATCAATATTAAGTATATATTGAATTATAATTTAATATTTATATACATTTATGAACGACAGTTTAATATAGTAACTTTTTATACAATAGCACCACATAAGACAGCAGATTGCTCATTTATTTACACGCACCTTTCTCCTCTCCGGTCATAAAAAGGAGACTGCGGTAACATCTGCGGCTCCATCCCCTGGGTCCTTGTACAGGAGAATACTTTGCAGGGCAGTGATGTATTTCCGGACTGACCAGGGAATTGTGTTTGAATGTGAGACTGGTCCTGCTTCAGCTGCAGTTTGCAGAACCAGCACTTTTCTCCCAGTGGAGGAGGAGACTCATCACTCTTCCTGTTCTTCTCCTGCCGCTCTTTCGCTCTCTGCTGCGTGGCCTCCAGCTCTCTCTGGCAGAACTCAGTGTCCTAAAGTCTCGGAATGGCATCCTGGAGTTGGGTCAAACCCTCTGTGCGTTAGGTGTTATAGACCTTGGGGGAGCAGTCGGAAATACTGGTAGGGTCCCGGCTGGTAAAACTCGTGAGGGTGTGCCATCGCCCATCTATTGGGATTTTGGATGGCCACATGACAGGCATTTCTTCTGTGTGGGGTTTACTTTGCTGGAGGGCTGCTGCTGCTTTTCTAGATTCGCTGCACAACCTTCTCTATGGCCTCCTCAGACAGCGGTGACATGAGTCTGAGCAGGAGGAGGGGGGTTCCACTGATGCAGGGGGCATGGTGGACAACAGGCACTGTGCAGGTCTTACTGCTGCTGTGAGCGATGTATCCCCCAGCACTTCAGCCTTGTCTGAGGCATCACCTCCCGTTGATACTTTGGGAAACTCGCAAAGATCTATGGGAAACTCGCCTGTATTTGGGCATCGTCTGGTCCTCCCGGTTCTGCGCAGTGGATGATCTCCCATAATGCGTTGCGTCAAACACGCGTGTGTGGGTCTCACACCAGGTCTCACGCACGTGCACAGAGGGGCTCGGCCGCGCTCTGACCAATCAGAGCAGTTCATCAGAGCGGGAGTTAGAGCGAGAGCCAGAGGAGTAGAGTTTGTGGCACTAATGTGTGGATTTAAACAAAACCGAAGGATTTAAGAAGAAAAAAAGTTCAGGATGACAAGGGACACTAAAATCCCCACAAAATCCTATCTTTATTAAAGCTGTACTGTAGGTTCTCTGTCAGCTGAGGTCGAGCTGTTTTAATATGCATTGAGTCCTATGGGGAAAATTTCTGGGTAGCCCACGTGAATTTAGTCTGGTTCAGTCTGCAGTACCACGAGAATCCCCTGAGCACATGAGTTATTCAGCTACAAGCTAGTAATACCCTATCCAGTTAATATAATACATCCATGGTCCCTGCTCATGTAGTTGTCGAAGGGAATGAGATGGCAGATAGGTGTGCTAAGCAGGCTATAAAGAGGAGGGAGGTTAGCCTGCCAGTTCCTCATAGTAAGTCTGAGAAAAAGAGTATCGTAAAAGGGCAAACTATAAGGAATTGGCAGATGCTATGGAACTATGACCAAAAGGGAAGGCATTTGTGTAGTATTCAGAAACAGGTGGGAAAGATGAGGGCATCAGGAAAAAATAAGAGAATAGAAGATGTAATGTCAAGAATGACGTTTGCCCGATGTATCAAAGGGAGAGAAAAAGTGTTGTAGGAAACATTTAAAGAGCGATTAAACACCAAATTAACTTTTTTTTAACTCATAAACCGCATAAATATGTTAATTTTAGTGCTCTCTACATATCCTGGTCATTTTTTGGACATTTTAGTTCAAATTAGATAAAATCTCACTTTTGAGCCAAAAAACGTCTGTGTGTCGCCCTCTCTACCTTTTTTGGTGGTACTACATTTGAATTTGGTTCTGGCCTCTCCATTGACTCGGAAATTCTCTATGACGTCAGTTGGTTTGTGTGACGTCAGTCTGTCTGCGCCAGTGATATAAATCCATTCAACTCTCACACACGCCTAGGGTTGCCAACTTGAGAACAAAAAAATAAGGGACACCATTTGGGTGGATCGGTTTGAGCACTTTTTAGTCCAAATTTCAATCTACACAGTAATCATGGTATTTCATAATTACAGTATTGACAACATATAAAAAAAAAACAAATCCTTAGTCAAAAATGAAATTGAATATTGAGGACTTAATGCATTCTTATTAATAATAAAAAATATAAAATAGACAAATGCTGTAACATACATTATTTATGTATATTACAGTAAAGACCATTTACTGTAAAAGCAAATAAAAAAATAAAAACATGTATTCATAAAAAAAACTCACAAATGTTGAAATCAAAGTCTGTAGCAGTTAGACATGGTCATTATTTATATTGTCTTAGAGTTTAGTGTTTCAGTAGTATTTTAGTGTTTTTAGCTTCAGTAAAAGCTATTGTTCGTTTACAAAGCTGTCTGGAAATGTTTTGACGCTTCCTAAGCGCTTTTCTCTGCGCTTGCAGTACATTGGATTCAATGGATTTCTCTGCATTAAAACAACGCATTGGATTTGAAAAATCAACATAGAGATGATCATTTTAGCACAGTGACTTTTTTTTTAACAAAGTAGCTTTCGTGAACTATTGACCTCGGGAGTCCGAATCTAGGAATATGGCGCTACTTTACCCATGAAACTTCTGCTGTGATGAAGCTGCGGGAGCGGCCCACGCTGACGCCTGTCAACATTATTGACCCCTTGCATGTGACGTCCCGGCCACGCCCACTCTCCATGACTGACGGCAGAATTACTGGAGCCTATGGACACCTGACCAAAACAAACCTGTTTCAGCGCATTACAGCCAAAACTGTGACATTTTGCAGTGTGGTTGATTATACTAACAGGCAAGGACATAAGCTTTTTTATCTGATACCTGCCGATGGCCAGCGGCAATTAACCAAAAGGACTGGGACCCATCCAAGTACTCCCTAATATGCAGTGAACACTTTTTACAAGATAAAGCAATCACAAGTTTGTATTTATTTTATTTCCATTAATTTGGAGGACAATGACACACGTCAAACGTGTCTCTTACTACTGTCCTGTATGTGCGCTGCAACATTGACATTTGTATCTTTTAAGTCAATTGCGTGTTTCACTATTTTCCTCTCCGTCAGTACGTATCATATTTGGCTGTAGACAGAAAAGCCACAGAAAAGTGGACTATTGCTAATGCTACCAGCAAAATGTACATATAAATCTGCTCCAGTGTAAGGGGATGCATTGTTAACGATAATGATTAAGATCATGTAGGGTGAATTTGGGCAAAAATAGACATTTTATTTAATCGATAAAATTGACTGGGGGGAGAAGGTACGGGTCAACATCCAGTTAGGCAATCCTTAACTTCTCCAAATACCACTCTTTGTGAGCCCTGACCTGATGTCCTACTTCCACCTATAACGTAATCGAACATTGCTTGAAGCAGCCACTTCTCGATTTAAGAGAGGAAGCTCCGTTTTTAAGAGTTGTGTCCGTTTTGCTCTCGCAGCAATGCTAGTTTCCAATACTTCCGCCGTAAGCTCATTCACAATCACGTGACTGGATGATGTTGATGCATCGGGTCAATACCCATGGATGTGATCAAGCCTACGCCCCTTTGACACTGATTGGCCGAAAGGTAGACGCTTAAACTGTGATTACTTTGTGTGTGTTGTGTGCGCGAGTGTGTCGCGCGTGTGACATGCAGTGAGTGAGTGATGCATTCAAGGTGGCTCTAAAAATACGGGACAAAAGCCGTCCCGTATCGATTCAATACGGGACGCACATAGTGTTTTTATAATACGGGACAATTCCGTATTTCAAGGGACGGTTGACAACCCTACACACGCCCCAGCTGCAGTTTGGAGTATTCTGGCGACATCTAGTGGATTAAGATTAATGGACATGCGTAATTCTGAGATTATTGTGTGTGATTAGGTTCAGGTTTGTAGCTTTACAATTATCTTAGTGAGTAAACAAGGGTGGAATGAGACTTTCTGGTGTGTAAACTATTGCTTTAAGCAGCAATGACAACTGTCTGTTTTTTTTTTTTTGTGTGACAAGTGAGCTGTCAATCACAGCCTAGACCACGCCCCACTCTAAGCCCCCCTTCGTGTCACTTGGTCCTCCAGGCAACGCCCTTTTTAGAGAAAATTTTCAAATCTTTATGTGGGCGTAGTAAAGCTGGGCACAGGTGTTTAGTGGCTCTTTAAGGAGCAGAAAGTACAGTTCAATCTTCAGGTCTTATGTAAAGAAATCGTCAAGTATTTAGTTAAAACGAAACTAATAGAACGAATATTGAGAGTCAAATATACTGGGTCACACTCCAGTCCAGAAGGTGGTGGTAAATGCACACCGAAAGGTTGTTTGCCCACCGCCATAAATCCAAAAGAAGAAGAAGCAGAATACTTTCACTTCACACGGTGGTCTATCCTGCTACCATAGCCACAGTTGCCCTGGGGAGGAGGCCACACCACCACCATCACATTGACTCTTTGGGATTTTGTTTTGTAGTATAAACTTCATGTAAAATAGTAATGTAAAGTTTTATGGATGAGGCTCCTAATTCCGACTAACATTGGAAGTGGGAAACCATGGTCATTGAAGTGCAGTAAAAACAGGGTAAGTATAAAAATATATTTATTTGAACAAAAGCACAATGACGGTGCAAAAACATCCATATACAAAAGAGTCTTTAGAAGAGCATGTCGGCCATGAGCTGCAGCAGGTCCGCAGAGCCAATCACTGGCCTGAAGAACAGCTCTGTGAGGAGGTGTGGGCTGATGGAGCGGAGCGAGGAAGCCATGAGGAGAATGTGCCCAAAGCGATCCCTTTCCTCCATGTGGAGCATGTGTACCACCTCACTGAGCGCGTTTTCAGCTTCCTGCTGCAGCGCTGCCACGAGCAGGCCGGCTTTCAGCTCCGGGACATCTATGGGGAGAGTATGACCAGTCACAGGAGACAAATTTGTGCAAAATCCACTTTTTAAGCTGTCAATTCCCTGTTCTCTTTTGCTTTGCACAGACTAGGGGCCTCATGTAAAATTTGTACGCACACACATTCTACGTATATCACTTTCCATCTCAAATAATCAAATAACTACAATTTTGCATATTGTATCTTTCAGAAATGATACTTGGAAACATAAGCATGAACATTTGGATTCAACTGTTTGAATATTGTTCACTAGTTTGTATTACATTAATTTACCACAAGCAAGCTAAAATTAAAGGTAGGAGAATTTTCTACTACTGGGTGGATCATCAAGACTATTGGTACTCCCAATTGACAATCATTCTGCTGATACGTGCTTGTCAAAAAAGACCAGAAAGTTTTGTTGAAAAAGTGGAGAGGGCGGTTCTTTCCTTTGGGAAAATCCTCTGTTATACAGTACATTTACAGTTTTTCTCTATTGCTACAACACAAAACCCAGTACTCTAAACCAAATGACCAATTGCCTAAACACATCTATTAAAACTTCCCCCCACTTCTCACAACCATAAACACAATTCTCCTGTAGACACTGTTCACAAAACACATGCCCTTTTTCTCAAAACTCTAAACACATTTTTCTTTTGCTAAAACACATTTTTCCTTTGCTAAAACACTTTTTGCATGTATCTCTACTCCTATAATCATTGTGAGGCTCATGTGATGAAAAATGTCTCCCACTGTCAGCAAAACCTGAACACAATGAACATACCTGGTGTCATTCAGAAAACACAACCATTCAGAACTGAAAACACCTGTTGCCAATGATGTGACCACAACTTTATAAGTCAGTGCAGTTTGATGAAGGTTCAAAACGAAAATGGATAATCAACGCAGAAGAAGAGGAGTTTGTGTCAGAGGACGGAGAGGAGCAGGCCGAGGAGGGACACACCCGGACTATTGTGTTTCCAATTGCTACTGTACTGCAGTATCTATTGTGTCTAATGGATCCTCTATAGAATTTACAGTACCCATGTTTGCATTGAGTTTTGATATAACTGCATTTTCTGCGTTATGTAACTATTCCCATGATACGCGCAAATCTATAGTAAAGGCCCAACACATATTTGAGAATAAAAAAGTGTTGCTCAAATGCATCCTGGCAGTTGTGAAACTGTAAAAAAGAACAATCTCACATTCTGAAAATTGTGTTTTCAATTGTTTTGGTGATGTGGTTAATGATGCTCATAGTGTTCACATTTTTGCAGACCATGAGAGGTATTTTGGTGTGATGGGTTGGTTTTGAGAATATGAGAAACTATTTTGGTGTGATGGGTTGGTTTTGAAAAGAGACTGTGTTGTTGTGTGTACGTAGCTTTAGAAAAGAGGTTTGTGTTTAGAGTTTTGAGAAAAGGGAGGGCAGTATCGTGAAATGTGTTTAAGCAATAGAGAAAAACTGTAAGGTACCATATTGGCTTGTCTGGGATCATTTTTATATTTCTAACATTGATGTGGATTAAAATAGTAAAAAAAGAAAAAAGCCAATATTTGAATTTAGAAAAAAATGATGAAATGCAACAAAATACTTTGATCCAGCTATCTTTAGTCCTTAATACCAGGAGTGTCAATGTAATTTTAAAAAAGTGTTTATGAAATTATTGTATTTTTTTTTGGCAACACCAAGGTGTTCATTGTTTTACTTGTGGAAAGTTATGGAGTTCATCTTGTCCAAAGATATTATTATTATATAGTATTATATTTTGGTATATGTTTCTGAACAAAATCAGTTATGTTTGGAACCAAAACTGGACCTAAGGTAAAGGCAGAGTATTGCAAACTAGAGAGGTCTATATATATATATATATATATATATATATATATATATATATATATATGTTACTTTAACTATATATATATATATATATATATATATATATATATATATATATATATATATATTATATATATATATATATATATATATATATATATATATATATATATATATATATATATATATATATATATATATATATATATAATGTTACTTTAACTATAACTCATTTGTGGGAAATGTTTGATTAGATTGAATTATGTGGTTCTTTTCTTGTAATAATAATCTTTAAAATGATTAATAAAATGCCATAATAGCCATAAATAGTGGTACAACAAACTAAAGCAGCAATATCTGCCTCAAAGCATCAAATAGTTACTCGCATGACAAACAAAATGTAACACTCGAATAAAACCAAAAAGGTAGGTTCCCCAGTTTTAAGAAATTATTCCCATTCTAAATGAAATGCTATGTTGAAGATACAAACATTCTACTTTAAGGCAGTATTACAAAAAAGCTACTTTGGTCTACAGGTATACAGGTGAAACTTAGTAAATTGGTATATAATTCAAAAGTTCATGTATTTCTGTAAAACTACGTAAAATGTCAAATGTTTATATGATATTAACTCATGACATGCAAAGTGACATTTGCCAAGCATTTATGAGAATTTTTTCTTACTGTGCATTTTCAGGATTCTAATTTTGTAAGATGTGTAATTTCGGGTTTTTGAATTATCAAGAGGCCTGACTTTACTTGTATTGAGTCTCTCATATAATTCGCATTCTAAGTGAAATGACAGAACCTTTGAACAATATTCAAGTTTCACCTGTATTTCCGTTTTAATTTTTGCAGTGGGACACTATCATACCTGGGTTGAATATTGTGGTGCCCTTCAGATAAGCGTACTCCTTCGGGCTCAGGTCTAAGTTCCATAATCTTTTGAGGCAGGTCTTGAGTTTTCTGACAGCAGCTGCGGTTGGCTGCTCCCTCTCAACTCCAGGCCCATGCTGTCGGTTCAGTAGGATCTTTTTCAACATGCTATCAGCCGCAGTGTCCGTGACCTCAAAGTCCATGCGCTCCTGAGCCAGACCCAGGATGAAGAGTGGGGCCCAGCAGTGCTCCAGCAGGACTCCACGGTCTCGGCCTGGGAGCTGGTTGAATGCCGGGAGATTCTTCATGAAGTGGACAGTCTTCACAAGCACGACTGAAGCCTCTTTGCAGACCTCCGTCGGCCTTTTGAGCACCACAGTCCGCCGTGATTCGCAGTTGCACCAGTGGGAGACGGAGGGAGTGCTTTGGTGAGAGTCCATGTGGCTGAGGATGTTGAAGAGGATGGGGTTGGAAAGCCTGTCGCATGCCGGGCCGCTTTGGCATTTGCAGTTTGTGTTCATGCTGCAGAAAAGACCCAAAATAAAGTTTAATGAAATGCTTGAATTTGGTCAAATATATGTTCAAGCTAGGATACAACAAGTTTTTCTTTAATAAATAATACATGTTGTTTGACCCAATAAACAGGTTTTCCTTTGCATTTTGCAGCCCTTTAAGTCACTATTGGACTCTGAGTGAGGGTCGTCCTCTCTTTTTCAAATTTCTGTCTGAAAAAGCTGATCTTACGTTATGACAGAGAAAATAAATGCATGTGAAAAATAATGATGGGACCAAACTTTGAGAGCCAGGTACAGGTTGACATTACATAGGTAGTTCATTTTGTTTTTCCCACCTTTTATTTTGAGGTTTGCCTATAAAACGAGATGGTTCCATAATTGTGTAATGCTCTTCATTCATCTTTCTCTCAATACAAGTCAGAAGATACATTAAACTTGGCAGCTACATAGGATACATATCTTCGGAGAGTAGAGGGGACCTAATGTTTCAACTGGTCTCTGTGAAGTTGTTCTCTAGTGGCATCACTTAATGTATTTTTGTTATTTTGTATGTTTGTTGTTTTATATGTTGAAGGGACAATATATATTTGTACTCTTAGTTGATGCACTATAGCTGCAAAACAAATTTCAAGGTCCAAACTATAAGCAGATTTTTTTTTTTGACAGAAAGACATTTTCAAATACAATTGCGCACACTACAAATCAGATTTGGTTCATCTTGCAGCTGTTGCGACACCTAATCAAGGCAGTATCAGTGGATACCGTCACAAAGTTGCACACTGCATCATAAGACAATGAAAGATCATAAACTACTTACTTGAAGCGCTTACAAACGTGTTTCATGCTATTATCTGCATTTGAAGGTCTCCGCAGTGAATGTCCCGTCTTCTGGCTGAGTCCTGTCTTTATAAGGCCCTGCGCCCGCCCAACTGGACCTTGACTTGTCAATACAATGCAGTGAAAAACAAGCATGCGCTCTGCCAGGTGACAGATGCAACAACCCTGGGAACGAGATAAGCTTTTCTCAATGAAAAGACTCTGGAGTAACGCTGCGGTATCAAAGGGCGGGGCGTTATCAGGCTGCAAATGTCGTTAACCCAAGCCGTACCAGGCTACCAAGGCCTCACCGGCAGATCACACCTGGAGAGAGGCCAAAGGGATCAGGGCAATGACCGCGCAGTTACAAACATGTCATGCGTGTCAAATGTGTTTGAGCCACGAACAGAAGATATTGTAAGTGCAAAGACTTCACGTGCTCCTGCCTGCTCCATACTGACACCCGTGGCTCATTCTTATATATTTTCCATTTTACATCTATTTATCTACATTTATTAAATCTGAACACGTATGTGGAGGAAAGAGAGTGATGCCTTCAGCACAGAGTGAGTAGGAGAGAGGTGTAGGGTCGGAGAATTTTTCACCCTGTATGTGTGTGTGTTGGTCAGAGAGTGTTTCAGGGAGTTTCCAGAAACTGGTTCCATGGAGGTCCACTCTAAGCACTAAGATTTTTTTTCTAAGTAGTTGATAAAAATGCTTATTACTACATACAAGTTGTGTTATAATCCGTAATTTAATTGAAAACTTGAGGTAATTGATTCTGCTGTGTAAGAATTACAAGCAGTGAAAAGTGCTGAGTAGAGTCTCAGCTGGCCGCTCGTTCTCCTCCGCTCACAGAACGAGCAGCGAACAGCCTGCGTCCTCTAGCCCCTACAGTGCTGCTAAACACTAGGGCTTCGGCTTCGAAATTCAAATATAATTTTTTTACATTTAAAAAAATATATGTATATTCGAACACACATTAAACATCCCTTACAATTCGAAATGTATTCAATAACTGCAAATAAAATAGTTAGCTCCCAAAGGTTCCACCGGGACGTGCTAGGCAGGTAACAGCTAAGCTAACTAACGCCCTGGAACTACATGTTAATGGTTACTTCCGGGTTTTTCGCGATCGCATTTTGTCACATTAAAATCTCAACCAACCAAATCCTTGATGTCACTTGGACAGTTGAGTAGGGTGTCTGGGGACCGTGATCATTCTTTATTAATGGTATGTAAATCTGACAGTCATCAGCATTAAAGTTAGAAGACACACGATTTCTTTCTGATAATTTCACAAATTGGAGGAGGTCCAGGGCAAAAAGCAAAGGGCCAAGAATCAAGCCCTGGGGAACTCCACATGCTTGACAGTGCAGGACTGCCCCAACAGATATGATCGAAACCTCCTGAAACAATATAAAAGAGTTACATGGTCCACTGTATCAAACGAAGCAGTCAAGTTCAAAAGCAAACTGCTGTCTCATAGTCGCAGAGACCACAGCTTCACTCATAATTTCTGCAAAGGACATGGCTACATTCGAGCTATGTCCTGTATGCATTGAAACACAGCGCATATTACTTGAAAATAAAATTGGTTTTATCAGGTGGTTGAATGTCTGCAACGAATATGGTTCTATTCTGTAATTTTTTTCCCCTGCTAATCTGAGATTGCAGATATAGTGCGTTTTTGTAATACGCCTCACAGCGTGGCCTTACACAGAGCTTGTTGATGTGACAGATTCCTAGACGCCACAGACATAACAATTGTCACTACGAAACATTGCATAAAAGAATCATTACTGAACTAGTGTCGGAATTAAAATATTGTGTAGTCGTGTAAGGATTTAACAGACAGAGACGGATCGTGGTGTGCCAAACTCTGGAAGTTTATTTAAGTTTCTCTCAAGTTCCACTGGTTTACTCTGTTTCTTTTCCTCAGACAGAATAAAGGCAGTACACAGTTTATATAGTCATTGTCACGTCACACATCGAAAGACATACGTGTCACAAAGAGACAGTCAAATCATAGTCATAACATGGAGTCCTTGTAGAGTCCTTGTACAGTCCTGCACGTAGGCCATATTGCTATCTAATACTAATACCCTCCCCTTTGATCTAAATATCTACTATACTGTTTTTGGGCTACACCCAAATACATCAAAATGCTTTTAAATGCTTTTGAATCTCTGTTGGTTCTAATCTATCTCATTGATCTAGGCATTAATCTAGGCTACACTCATATGAACTTTATCTACTTTTGAAGCAAAGGTTTGTGAAATGGTCCCTTTACCATTTGATATTAGCACTGGCTACAAATAATCTCTATTTTTGAAAGCATCTATGGTTGATGCATTTATCTATTCCTATTTTTACTCTATTTTTTGACTCCAAAGCTCGGTTGCAGCTTGAGTCAAGGCATATTTCTAATTTGTGACTTCTGTCACTTTTAATATCTCTAACATTATTCTGATTCTAATATTATAGCTGATCTATCAAAAGGATAACATTGTAGGGTACTATTTTAACTCTTACGTGGAAATGTTTATGAACAACAAAGGAAGGACAATTCTACTCTTTTACTACTATTTAACATCTACTAAAACGCTACAATACTCATACTTTATCATTTTCAAAGTTTTTGTCTGTCAGATGTCTGAATACTTAACATGTATATTGCATTTGGTCACAGGTTCTGGTTCTGGTTGTAGCAATAGCATCGGCAATAGACGATTTTCATTGGCTGGTTCTTGTTCTGCAAATCGCTGTGTCCAATAGATCATCAGATGTCCAGAAGCTAGGGACAAACAAAAACAAAAGAAAGAATCATGAGTATCTGTCTCATTTAGCACTCATCAATGTATGATTTCAAAAATATAAACATCACTCCCCAGTTTTCTCTCTCAGATCCTCAGGTCCTCAGGTCCCCTGAGGGTGAGTCTCAGTCGTCATCAGGTCAGGTCATCTTGGACATCAGTAGGGTCCAAGCCATGGTTCTGGTCTCTCCAGATGCACATCAGGATCTCCAGATACAGTCTTTTCAGTTGAAGCACATCAGGTCATTTGCGATGCACTTCTGGTCAATGGTGCAGTGTCTCAGTTCCTGTACACAGCTTGTTATGCAATAGTTACTCTCTATGGTTAAGTCACTTTGATTCTACTTTAACACAATTTCTATTCATGCTGTTGCTAATGTCCCTTAGACAAAAGGCAAGCGCAGTTTACTTCTCTAATTTGTGTTTTTATCAGATCTAATTCTCATCAATGTAATTACTTCACACAGTACAAAATCAACAAATCAAAAGTGTCAGGACAGACGTCAATTAAGTCCATGACAATATAGAATTCAAATGAACATTTCTGGTCTCAAAAAATACTGATTCAAATAAAGATTCAAGTGATAGACAATTAAAAATGTGTTTACATTGGAGTAAACTTTTAAAATGCTTTTTCTCATGTTCTGCTTTTTCATGTATCTATATGTAAATGTGAATGTGTGAGTGTATGAGTGTGTATGTGTGTGTGTGTGTGTATGAATTTTGGGGTTGTCTCTCCAGACTCCACGAACCACCTGTAGGTCTCAAAGGTCACACTGTGGTGATGTAAACCAACTGGACACACTTTCAACTCCCTCTAGGTCTCTACCTGACGCTCCACCCATCACGTCTCCAGATACCTCTCTCTGCCCCGGTCTCTCTCACACCCACTCAGTTCTGCAGTGGCGTGGGGAGGGGCAAGGAGGTGGCATTTTCCTTTGCTCTTTGATCTGTGACCTGTGGCTGGGTGGGCTTTGCGCTGTCCAGTGTCCAGCAGTCCAGTGACCCTGTACAGTGTGTGCTCTCGGTTCTGGAAAACAACCTTATAGTCAAATTAAAAACAACAGAGATTGTGAATGAGATTGTTTTTCTCTCTGAAGTCTAAACAATTTGAGCGCTCTGGGTTTTCCCAAGCGCTATGTAAATAAAGATTACTTATTCTCTTACTAATGATGACCTTTTAAAACCAGAAACTCTCAATATAAAAAAACAAGACTCCAATCTCTTAAACCTTCAAACTTTAAAATATGTATTATGTACTTTTGTACTGTGTGATGTTTTTAATCTTGAACATCTTGGGTTTCACTTTATGGACTTTCCCTTTTACACTTATTTATCTCAGCATCTATTCTACTAATTTAAAATAATTGCAGCATTTTTCAAATGAAGTCAGTATGAATTGGAGCACATTTTAGACCAGGCTCCTGTGCTGCGTGCATCTGCAGCAGGAGGAAGGTCAGGTGCATAGTCAAAACAAAAACAAAAGTCACCACTTGAATGTGAATTGGGTGAATTGGGTAGTTTAACTTAATAATATAATACTTTTACAGCCTAATTCCCTCTTTCTTTTTTAGACGAAGTCTACAATCAATAATCACTTTTAACACGGATTCTAATTTAAATGTTTTGAAAAACGGCTTTTGTAACTAAAATAAAAACATTAAAAAAATTCTCACTAACAGCTATGAAATATATCAGAGATACAATAATGGACTCACAAAATAAGCAGCAGATTTAAAAAGAAAAGCAAAGCTTTTTGTACTAATCTTTGGGTTTCAAAAACATACTAATTCAAAACTTCTATTCCCTAATGGTGTTTAAAAACGTTTAACTGTGTCTAACACAATGTTCAAATGGCAAATTTAGCAAATTTAACGGAATAACTACTATGAAAAGCCAAATTCCTAAAGCAGTAGCTCCCCTTTAAATCAGAGCAGCAGCTCAGCAGCAGCGAGGGCGGGGGGGTTCCTTTCACACAGACGCGCACACACAGGCAGAAAGATACAGAAGAATAACTTTCAAGATTACTTTGTTAAGCGAATATAACTGATGTTGTTCTTTATACTTTTGTCATCCAAATCTAGAAGTGATCACTTTCCACACTTGTAACAAAAGGCACTCTTGTCTTTGACGTTTACGCTTCTATTTTATCGAGGTAGCAAACTAATTTAAACTTAAAATCTCTTTCTAAAAAACAAAAACAACTGTTGG